TCTCGAGCCCTGCTTTTCCCACCCAAAGGGTCACGTGACTGAGGTGGGGAGAGTGCTCTTCCCTCTGTTCTCTCTTTGCTGCTGTGAGGAGAGGACAGGCAATTTGTCGAACAATTCTTTCAAGAAAAAGTTATTTCACCTACGTTCCTTAATGGTAGGATAGGCACTCTTCAAAAAGTGTGGGTAGTGGAGGGCTAAAATGGCCCAAAATTACGAGCACAGCTCATGTTTGTTGTGCCCTGGAGAAGGCCACAATACCACCTTGTGCCCCACATGCCATCTCCTAACTCCTAAAGCCTGGAACGAAAGGGTGGCTAAGCTTAAAGCGGTTCTGTGGGAGAAGGTGCTGGGCACCCCAGACTCTTGTGTGGAGAAGCGAGCCCAATTGGAAAAAAGATTGAGGGCCATGTTGGTGGTTTCAGCCCCAACCCCTTCAGTGTTGGAAACAATGGGATAGTTGCCAGCAGTGCCGAGAGCTGGATCAGAACCACCGCCCAAAAAAAGTGAAAAAGAAGGCGAAACACATGCCTCAAAAATCCCCTCAACATCTTTTGCCATGTCCTTGACTTCAACGGTCTCTATCACCCTGGCACCAAGTCTCGACATCCCCTCGGAGTCGACAGTCACTGTCTCCTTGTCATCAACCAGAATCACCCCTTTGATGTCAATCAGTGGACTCTCCTTGGAGTCAGTGTTCGACTTCCACACACCACTTGTCTGTGTCACCACCTTAATGTCAATCACTTTCTAGTGTTCAGTGGGGCCTATTTCTAGGTTAAGCACATACTGTAGCATTGCATCCTAATACCTGTATAGAACAGAGTTTTCAGCATGAACATATGACCTGAACTAGTATACAAGATTTTGAATTGAGTTGTGAAACTGAGTTGTGTTTTCATTAAATGGGCTGACTATGTTTTTCAAACATGGGCTTTAATGTCACACTAGTTTTAGGTACTATAGGCTTGTGTTTATTTAACTCAACTGGATATATCTGCAGGCAGATCTTGAACCTTTTTGGATCTTTCTGTGGTTGATAAAGAAATGAAAACTTTATTATTCTCTTCCAGCTTTATATTTTAAGAAACTCAGGGTATAACTAGCAGTGTGAGTTACTGTAGACTATTTTATTTAATGAGTTCATTTATACCCAAACTTTCTCCATAATTGGAACCCAAAGCCGCTTACATAATTCTCCTCTTCTCCATTTTACCTCCACAACAACCCTGTGAGGTAGGCCTAGGGTCACCAAGCAAATTTCCATGGCAGAGTGGGGATTTGAACCTGGGTCTCCCATATCCTAGCTGGACACTGTAACCACTATACCATGCTGGCTCTCAGAGGGAAAACAATGAATGTTCAAATTAGTTTCCTTCTTCTGAGAGAGAGAGAGAGAGAGTCTGTCTGTCTGTCTGTCTGTCTGTCTGTCTGTCTGTCTTATATGGATTACTATCACAGAGATGTCACGTTTCTAAAAAAAATCGAAGCCATGGGGGAAAATATGGAGAGGGCAATTCTTTATGGAAAAAATGAAATATATGCAACACTTTACTGCTTTAACATAAAATGCTATTTGACATATTTCTGAAATCTGAAAGTATAAATGCCTTGGTTTTCTACAAGCAAAATTGTAACTATACCTAATGTGACAGAGAAAGGTAGAGAGCTGCCATCTGCTATACCGTATGCTACCTTAGCACATGTGTCTTACTTTTTGCCATTTGAACATAAGCAGAGCCATGTTGGATCAGAGGAAAGGCCCATCCAGCCTATCATTCTGTTCACACAATGGCTGAACAGCTGACTCTGGAAGACCACAAGCAGGAAGACCACAAGCAGAATGGATGACTGCAGCAGCAGCAGCAGCATCCTGCCCATGCTCCCCAGCAACTGATAGAAAGAGGCAGACTGGCTCTGGCACGGGAGGGAAGGGATCTTAGAAACAGGAAAGAACAAACATAGAAGGTTGGAAACAAAAGGAAGTGAATTATTTGGACAGAAACATTTTCATGCAGTTACAGGGACTAGCATCATAGTTGGATATGGAGCTAAACTTCATTATAATGAGATCGAATTATTCAATAATGTATTCTGTATGTAGCATGTTAATTGTGGGCAAAATTGGTCACGTTTAAACAGTGAACATATCCTTGAAAATATGTTGAAAACACACGAATTATAATTTTCTATTGCTGGATATTGTCTTACATAAAAATATTTAAATTATATCCCTTGTGAATACAGTTTAGTCATTGCTAAAGAAAAAAATATTTCATCGGATTTGTTTTCCCCAGTGCATACCAAATTTTTCTGTTTTGAAAATGCCCTCATTTCCCCCCTAAAGTTTTCTGTCTCCACCTACCCACCCCCGGCATTCAGGTCTCTTTAGAAGCATCATAATTATCCACTGATAACAAGAGTGTTTCCAACCATCCACGAATTTGTGGACAAGGACTTTTTGTTTCCCCCTCCTCCTATAGCTCATTGAGCACCTGAGATCTTGTTCCTGGGGATAAGTGTTCCTTCAGAAACAGCATAGGAGGCAAAGTGGGGGGTCTGCAGTGGGGAGAGGGAATTGGTAAAAATTGCCACCCCATCTTCTGCAAACAGAAATGCCATTCTGTCACAGTAACTGTGTGACTGAATACAGGCCAGTATTCTGTAAGCAAGTATACATGCATGTGAGCTTTTGTTGTTGTTCAGTCCCACAGGCAAGTCCGACTCTTCGCGACTCCATGGACCACATCACACCAGGCCCTTCTGTCTTCCACTGTCCTCCGGATTTTGCTCAATTTCGTGTTTGTTGCAGAGAATCCTAAATCTTTTTATATTGTGATCTTTGGAAAACTTCAAAGACCAAAGTAGCATTTAACCTAACTTTGACTACCATGTTCTGAATCAATAATACCTCCTTAATAAATTAGGGCAGGACCCAGGTATTCCTACCAGTTGCAATGAGACATGTGAAAGCACAGTGTAGGTTTACTCCTTCATGACAAACAGTGTTCAGGTGTAAGTCTGACTTGCTTGTTTATAACTTGTAGCATGACTGGCCTGGATGATGTCACCTAATACAGCCTTCTGTCCCTTAATCCTAACATGCCCAAAACATGTCATATGTTTCTCTCTCCTCCTTAAACCTTCCTATATGTCTTTTTAAATCCGTCTTAAGGTAAAATAATGTAGCTTCTATAACTTTTAAAAGCACATGTTGCATAGAGTGGTCAAGTAAAACACTAATGAGTGTTTTGTACTTCCAAAAACCTATTTAATAGGACATACCATGATCACTAAAAAGCAATCTGTAGTTGGTACATGGGTGGAGAGACGCAAATGATTTCTCCTAATCAGCAGACAAAAAATCTTGATTTTATGCGGAGGCTGAATTAACAGCACCCATGAACAAAGCAACTAATTGCACAAGCTTAGCAGATTGCCTCTTTAGTGTCTGAATTTCAGATTGTGCTCTCATCTCTCATTTTGTTGAAACCTTAAAAAAATAACTGGCTGAAAAACCCTCCCATCCTCTGCAGGTGTTAGATTATAACAGCAGAGAAACCCACGAGGGTTTGAGGGGCAAGGGGCAAGGTGTCAGTATTAAAACTGTCTAGTTTCTTCACGCTTATTCTTAAACAGATTTTTAGACTTTTTTTTACTTCCTAGATCATGTTAGTTATTTTTTTCCAGCTCAGATAATTCATAAACAATGTATATACTTTTTAATTTTGTACCAGCTTCTTCTCTGGGATATTTGTCAGGTGAGCTGGGGGGGTGAGTTATCAGAGAATTTTAAATAGACAAAGTATTGCAAGAGTGCCAGTGTTTTAAGCATGTTTTATTTAGTGTTTTAAAAAATCTTTTAATTTAGCTTGTCTGTGTCCTTTATAAAGTTTACATTTCCGCTGCCTGGCATTACATTTTATGACACACATGGCCCAGCCCAACAAGGTATCATTTTTGTCAGATCCGGCCCTCGTAACAAATGAGTTTGACAACCCTACTTTAGTCCTTCAGCCTTCATGGCTTCATGTGCAGATCCTACAACCCTAAGAATGGTCATTCAGGGGATCGGAAAGAGCTGCAGAAAAGGAGAAGAATGAGGGGGAAATCCATGTGCCTTCCTTAGATAGATGGTAGGATACTGTCCAATGTGTTCATTGTGATTCATTCAAAACAAATTGAGCTGCCACATTTTACATCAGCTGAGATGTTTGGCTCATCTTCAATGTCAGACCTGAATAAAATTAATTTTCACATTTAATTTTATGGTGTGTAGCCTACCTCAAGTAATCCAAATATATACAACTTCAGCTAAACTGAAAAGGGAGCTGATACAAGTTAATGAGTATCAGCCTGACTGAAATGCTGGTATTTTTATGCATTATAAATGTTTCGGAGGAAAAACCTTGAGGCAGAAAGCAGATATCCACTCTGTTGGTTTTATTATCAGCTTTCTATTGTTTGAAGGAAAATATGTTATGTGAAATTAATAGAAAAAGGTGCACTCGGTGTACACATGTATATTTTTTCCTGAGCAAAATCCTTCTCTCTTTGCTCTCTTAAGTTGTATCTGACAAATAGAGCTTTGACTTTTGAAAGTTTATATCCCAAATATCTTGTTGGTCTCTAAGGAGCTACTGGATTCAAATCTACTGTCTTATCTCCTTGACCACTTTTACTGAAATGCAAGAGCATATTCCACACCCGTATCAGAGATCTCTCTCCTTTAAAATTGCCTCGTTCCTCTCCTGTCTTCTCACAGTTCCTTTTCACTCTTGTCTTTTCTTTGTTGCAATTCCGTTTGCTAATGTTCTGTATTGTGTATGACTAAAATTAATTACAATTCTATTTGATTGTATATATGCTTAAAAGCAGTGCTTGAACACATTTTTGCAAACTCTTTATTTATTATTCAAGTAGGCTTTGGCTTCCAAAATATACATGAAGTAAGTGAAACATTGAACTAAAGTTAAATTTTCCCCTTCCCTTCTCTTTTCAAGTACTGGATGAATGAATACACCTCTTCTCTTGGAATTGGAGTATTCCATTCAGGAATAGAGATATATGGCAGAGGTGAGTAACACAATTTAACATTGTTGCTATAAAGTATCTGTGACACGATGCATGTAAAATCTGTAAATAATGCCCTGAAATCAGGGGTCTTTTCCTAGAAAAAGAGCTGCAGGAGCTCATTAACATACGGTATGATAATGAGCTACTAGGCTATTAACATAATAGCTCATTAGCATATGCAACACCCCCTGACATCACCAGAAGTGATGTCAGAAGGGGAAGCAAAAGGGGGGGAGGCATATTCAGAAGCCTCCCCTTCCCTTCCCCAGCTGGGGGGGGGAAGCAAAGAGAGAAAGGGTTTAAAGTTTAAACCCCTTCTCACTAGAGTTGGGCTGCAGAAGGAGGAAAGAGGGAAGGAAAGAGAGAGAGAGAGTGTAGAGAGAAGGAACAAAGGAATGAAAGAGTGAAGGAAGGAAAGAGGAAAAGAAATAGAAGGAAAGAAGAAGGGAAAGAAAGAGCGAGAAGGGAAGAAGGAGGGAAAGAGGAAAAGGAGAAAATGAAAGGAGGGAAAGAAAGAAAGAGCAAGACGGGAAGGAGGGAAGGGAAAGAGGTAAAGAGAGAGAAGAAAAGAAGAAGGAAAAGAAAGGAAGGAAGAGAAGAGAAAGAGAGAAAGAAAAGGAAAGGAGGGAAAGAAAGAAGGCAAAGGGGATGGGGGAGGCTCTCCCCCCCAATCAAGCCTCCGCCATCCCCCACGGATCCCTCACTTACCCTTAGCCTCTTCTGCCCTCCCACAGGCTGCAGGGCACTGGCCCAGGGAGGCGGCAGGGGGCCGCAGTGTGGGGAGCTGGAGGTGGAGTTTGCTGCCACCGCCATTTGTTCTGGCCCCTGGGCTCCCGGAGCGGTGCTCCGCGCGCTCTGGCCCCAAAAGACCCCTGCCTGAAATGCTATGCATGTAGTTCTTCATGGGGAGTTTAAAAGGCAGGGAGGGTTGGTTGGGAAGGGAGGAAATGAATGATAGATTGAGAGAGAGATGGAACAAAAGACCTTATTTGATGAGACGATGTGACTGAAGGTGGGTATATTGGAGGGGCTGAGGAGAGAGAAAAAGGAGAACAAGATTGGGATTTGGGGAAGAAGATAATCAAAGGAAGGGTTAGGCTTGATAGGCAGGGATTTGTAAAGCAAGGTAGTGAGGAAAGGAAAGTTTGTTTTGTAAATTTTTCTTTGACTGATTTATCTTTTTCCAGTATTGGGCTGGAGGTTGAGGGAAGTTATTGTATATTCTGAACTCCAAACGATTCTTAAAGTTTGTTTTTGTTCAGTTTACTTGATAAATATTGTGTCCTCAGTAGTTCTTCTAAGGATAACAGTTTCAGGAGTAACACACTAATTGGTCTTTTTTAACAAAAAGGGGCTTTTAAATGAGTGAGGATCTAGAGTGACCCTGGTGGTAGCATAGTTTGTTGGTATCAAGGGAGGCAGGAAAACAGACTGTAAGGTTCAAGAGATCTGAGAAGTCTTATGAGGTAGATCTGATGTGCTATAAAGGAGTGAGATACAAAAGAGAGAGGGAAGAGTCACAAAAGCCACATATCTTGCAAACATATGCCAGTAAGGAATAATTGAAAATCACTGAATCTGATTTCTTATGTTTCTCCCTCTGCTTCTGCAACAAACTCAAGAATAATGTTTTGACTGTCCAATCTTAATTTAGATTAGAGATATGACAGCCCTGGAAAAGTTGGACATTTGGGGGAGAATTGGAAGAAACCTCTAAAAAATTGTTTCTTTTCTAGAACAAGTCAAGTGCATTTTTTAAAGTAATGTTTTTTAAAGGCCAAAAATGAATGATAAAATATAAATATGTTCATTATTAACTGATGTGGGATTCTTGTGCTTTTTTTGGGGGGGGGGAACATAGGGTTAATTAGTTACCAAGTTATTCTGCCTGTGCACAGTTTGAGAACAACTGTTTAAAAATATATATGCTTCAGGTGCTTTCATATTCCACAGTATGTAAAAGAATATGGAATATGTGGAATATGAAAACATCTGTATTTGCAAGTTACACACCAGATTAAGAAACAAGCTAACATGAAAAGTAGAGAAGTGTTTTTAAAACCTGTATGAATACATTCAGTTCTTTAAAGTCCACTGGGAAACCATTAATGTTCAAAATTAGAATCTATTTCTCTTTGAGAAGTGCATTATGACTAGAGAAAGTTGAGATGGTTGTGCTTTCAATAATTTATTTAAATCAGATAGTTTTGATGCCATTACTATGGCTCTTGTCTGCAGTGGGGATACTCTGCCAAAGAACTGTATGATGTGAATTCAATATTCAGATTTACTGATAGTCCTTAATACTATGATCTGTTAGCTGGAGGCAGTGCCCGCCACCCCCCACCCCATGTTCCCCCAGTTGGAGGCAGTTTGAAGAGGTACTGTTGTTTGTAGTATAGGCACTAATCCCACTATTACTTCTGGAAAACAGGTCCTGCAGGTGTTTGTATTGTTTCTTCCATTTCTGGATAATACTGGCTGTATAAAGAGGCGACTCAAGTTAAGAGAAATATTTCATATGTTTACTACAAAGTTGATGGTTTCTATTTTTAAAATGTGCTTAGGTACTTAGGGTGCAGTAGGATGCTGCTTCATCTCTAAGATTAGGAAAGATTGTAATTTTTGTTTAAATAAAGGCTAGCCATTTCATAAATACACCATACAGTGTAATTTCCTATACTACATTGTATGTAATAGGTTGGAGCCAATGTGTCCTTGTGAATGGAACACATTGTTGAATCCAATTCTGTGACTTTTATGTGACTTTTTACTCCTTTACCTTGCATAGGTTTCTTCAGGTTTTTTCCTGTTTTTGTTTTGTTTGTTTCTCTTGTTTTTGTTATGTTGTATGTATGAAGTATTTACTAGATTATTTGTAAATAAATTACTAGAAATAGCATGGCTGAAATACAGAGGGGGAAGTTTAAAAGTTAATTCATACTCATATAAAATAAAATTGGGATTTGTATAAAAATGTAAGCTATAAATTTTAAGGAGAAGAAATCAAGTTATTGGAAGGATGAAAGATTAATTTTGCTGATTTATGTTTAATTGGAATTATGAATTCAGAGCTTCTGTTATAATATGATATTGAATAACTGGTGTTAGGGCATTGAAAACTGTGAAAATTAGATGTTGCGTTACTGAGATGGAAAGCTAGATATAGAATTATAGAGAAGGGGAGGGAAATTAATTTTGATAAAGAGTCAACTTCCCATTTTGAATTTATACAAGTGAAAATTTCAGTGATATGTATTTCATAAACTGCTGGATTAAATAATGATTAAAAGGGAATATGGCAGAAGGGTGAGTAATTAGGTGGGAAGCTAAACTGTTTATAAATTGTAGTAAATTCATGCCACTGGTGGATATTTATTTGGGAAAACAAGTATATAATAGTAGTTGCAATAAGATATTGACAAAGGATGTTGAAAATCTATGGATAGGAATTCTTCAGAGTAATGAAAAAGGATATTTAGTGGTTAATGACCATCTGAGACGTTGTGAGAACCTTATCAAAAAGGTTGACTTTAAATTGTGAAGGTTAATTGGAATATATTTAGTTAAATCTTAAAAGAAGGTCTTTATTTTAAAAAAGCATACTCAGTTGCAATATTGTCTAGAACTAGTTGTATCGCTGTATACAGGAAACATTGTTTATGTTAATGTTTTTGTTTGTTTTTGTCTTTGTGTTTACGTGTGTGTCTATTATTACTAAAAATTAAATAAAATATATTTTTTTTAAATCTCAAGTGTTACATCTCTGCTTCAGATACAAATGAATTTGGCAGAAACTAGCTTTAATCACATTTATTATTGGAAGTTAAGCCAATGGTATCCAAATGCAGTATAAAAGTTGCATTTAAGTGTGTGCAGCTTTATGTGTGTATAAAGTGGTGTTACAACATTTGATCTGCAAAATTTAGGTCTAAGCATGTTTAACAAATTATCAAGGCATAAAAAGGATGATTTGGTAATGACTGACTTGAAACATTGTTTATAAAGACCTGGTTTTTTTTCCTTTCAGAATTTGCTTATGGTGGCCATCCATATCCCTTTTCTGGAATATTTGAAATTTCTCCAGGAAATGCATCTGAACTAGGAGAAACATTTAAATTTAAGTATGCAGCTTTTCATTTATTGATGTGAACTGAAATTTTCATATTGAATGTTGTCAATATATGCATGGTCTCAGTCTTATAATTTCAAATATCTGTAGTATGTTTTGATCAATTGAAAGCTTTATCTGTAAAAAATCTAGCTCTGATAGCTTCTGAAACAATAGCATTGATAGCAAGAGGGTTTGTTTACAAGAATACACACATAAGTGTGAACAACTATATATTCATGTGGGTATACACAACCTTGGAACAGGAGAGGAAGCAGTGTAAAACTAAAGGAAGGGGGATTCTGGGCATGAAGTTAAAAATAAGTAGAGGAAATAAGAAATAAATCATTTTAGAGCATGTGCTCTCCAGCAGAGTGGGAATGAGAACATGTCTGGTTTGATTGTACATAAACACTTTCTAGTAATCTTTTATTTTAGAGAAGCTGTTGTACTTGGAAGTACTGACTTCATGGAGGAGGATATAGAAAAAATTATAGAAGAACTTGGAAAAGAATTTAAAGGAAATGCCTATCACTTAATGCACAAAAACTGCAATCACTTTTCTTCAGCTTTATCAGAGGTGAGTGTTATTTTAATTAACCTCAGGCTCTGCTGAATGTACAAAGAAACAGTAGCTTTCAACATACAGCTAGGCTATTCTCCAACTGCTGAAAGTACAAATATACTATAACCGTAGTTTTCATTTAACTTCAGTTTCTGAAACTGCACCGATGACTCATCATGTCATTACTATTGTTACATGTTTCATCATGTTCAAAAACATATAGTTGGGATCAGTGTTCCCTCTAAGCTGAGTTAGTGTGAGCCAGCTCACAGTTTTTTAGCCTCTGGCTCACACGTTTCAGTCTTAGCTCAAGAAGGATGGCTCCAGAGCAAACTAATTTATGCAGTAGCCAGATCACTTGCTCACAACTTTAATGCCAGTCGCTCACAAAGTAGAATTTTTGCTCATAAGTTTCCACAGCTTAGAGGGAATATTGGTTGGGATATTGACACTACTGTTGGGACAAAAAAAGGGCCCCTATTTTCGATGCCCACCTTAAAGTTATTTTCAGAATGGCCAGTTGCCTGAAAACTATATTTAGTGTTATCAGTCTGACAGGCAACATTTGTAGGGTTGAAGTATTCCATGTAATGTACTTGGTGTACTGTGTGTTCCAGGTCAGTGATGTGTTTCAATTAATCAGAAACCTACATATTATAAAAAAAATGGATGCCATTTGTAATTTCATCTAGATTCTCTGTGGAAAAGAGATTCCTCGTTGGGTGAACCGCCTTGCTTACTTCAGCTCCTGTATCCCATTTCTCCAAAGTTGCCTACCGAAAGAATGGCTTACACCTGCGGCACTCCAGTCTAGTGTAAGTCAGGAGCTTCAGGAAGAACTCGAAGAAGCAGAAGATGCTGCAGCGTCCTCTTCCCTGTCAAGCTCGGCATCAGCATCAAGAACTGGACATCACTCAAAAATATAAGTTCAAGCCAAACTAAACTGAAGTCTTTGGAAGCCTTGTCAGTAACTGACTACATTAACAGAACTGTCTTTGGTATGCAATTAGCTCTCCAACTCAAGCCCTTGGTGTCTTCTGCTCAGGATTTTGTATGTAGTGAAAAGTTTCTGGGAGAAATGGGAATCTGATGTGGAGCTGCTGTCTTTCATCTGATCCAATAGCCTTGGACTTAACTGAACTGTTTACAGTATTGTGTGCTGCTGTTTACAAGTCCCACTGGGACATCTGCCATTGAAAGACAATGTGTTAAATAGCTCAATTGGACCTGCATAACTTAAACAGCATCTCCGCCAACTGTTGCTGAAAATGACGCAGGAATTGTTGAATACTGTGTGTAAACAGGGTACATACTGATCAATGTAAAGAAATCTGTCCTAGGAAGCAAGGTAGTTACCTTGGTAAATAACTGAGAATACATGTTCTTTAAAATGTTACTGTCAGTTAAATCATGGTTTTTAACCACTTATAAAGTGCAAACTAATATTTTACTACAAAGCCTGTTGGATTCAAGTAGATTTCAACCTCATAAGTTATTTTTGTATTTTTTTTATTTTGTGGTTTTCGGGTTTATTTGTCCTGCATGTTTTGTCTGACTCAGTTTTGAAAAATATTATTCTGAACTTTGCAGCTTTTTAACAGAGTCCTCAGCAGTGCCTCTTTCACGTAATTTTTAAAAGTGGAGCTGCAGGATATAGATGGAACACACAGTTGATTTGTTAGCATTTTCCTGTAGCATCATTCATCCCACAGTTCTGCAACCAGTTCTACCAGATGTAAATTGCTGTTTATTAGAAGAATCTCTTCCTAGAGACAGGGAGAAAAATGCGGTTGTGATTTTTTTTTAACAGCTAGTTTTCTCAACAGCATGAAATATGAAAGCCTATTCGAATCTATTGTGTTAACAGAAGAGCCCTTTAAGTGTTAATAGGTAAGTCATCCAGATACGTGCCTGGTGATGCTACCTTTGTAATTATGATGATCTAATGTAATAGCACATGCAAGGTTTAATTATGCTAATCTACTGGTAAAGTATACTCTATAAAAGACAAAAATTAAGTAAAATTATCAAGAGGAATTTCATCTGTCTAGTGGCTTTCTCGTGGAGGTTTTGTGTGTATACAGCAGTGGTGACACCCAATTGGAATGGGCTTTAGATTCTCATTATGTATGCTGCCTTAAGGATCTTCCAATTAAATGGAAAAAGATCAACTGAAAATAATGTATAAACTGATCTGCAAGTCCACAGAAATATGCATTGGTGAAGAAAATATAAAGTTTGCATGTGCTATTTATGTTGCTGGGTTTGCTGATGCACGTGTAAGCTGGGATGGCTTTGGTGCAGATATCAAAAATGACAAGTCTGAAAAAGTTAGGGCTGATAAAATGATGTTGTGTAACATATATTTATTTTATAAATGTAAATCCATAGACAGCAAAAACCTCAATGTGGCTTTTGGTTAGTATTGCATTATCCACATTTTCAACTGCTTCAATTTATACACATTTATCTTGGGGCCAATTAATTCCTCGTGTGCTTATGTGTCTTGTTGACAGACACACTGGGAGTTCCATGCTCAGAGCTTAATTCCTAGGGCCCTTTCTGCACTCTCCTTTTAATCCCTGTTTACCACGGTGCCCTCCAAGCGGCTCTGCGCTAAAATCGAATTCAACCTACTTTTTAAGCCAGATTTGGCACTAAAATCGAGTTCAGCCTTCTTTTTATTCTGGGTTTTCCCCCCTATTCTGCATTGCATCACCTCCCTTCAGTTTCAGCCTGCTGTTGCCCTGGGTTATTTGGATGCTGTTTTGCTGTGGACTTAAATTGTGTTGACTCAAATTGTGTTGACTCAAACACTGAGAAAATCTGGAGTGGCAGGCAAATGAGGAAAGGACCTAGGTATACATTCCTGATTTTATATCAGGACCATGGAGAGAGTGAGCATATCACACACACACACAGACAGATTTTTCCTGATCTGAAATGGCCGTGATGTAGTGCTGCTTGCCCCATTAATAAAACATGTAGCCCATTAGCACACTTAAATGTCCCCAACAGGGCAAGTAGGGGTTCTACAAGACCATTTCAAGTCAGGATATCAGTATGCATATGCATATATGATGCATATGTCTCCTTACCCCATATGCCACTGTCTCTAACCAATTCAAACCCACAAGCACAATTAAATTCCCAGCATGGAAGTCCCAGCAAAAGTCTGGTCAATAGGACTGGGGTCCTGTCAGCCTTCAGCCTTCATAATATATTGATTGGCCCTTAGGCTGTTTCTTAGGCAAACTTGAGGTGGTGGTGGAAAGTGACGTCATGTCACAGCCGACCTATGGCAGCCCCATGAGGGTTTTCAAGGCAAGAGACCTTCAGAGGTGGTTTGCCATTTGCCTGCCTCTCTGCATAGCAATCCTGGATTTCCTTGGTGGCCTCCCATCCAAATACTACCCAAGACAGTCAAGCTTAGCGCCCGAGCTCTGATGACATCACACTAGCCTGGGCTATCCAGGTGAGGGCAAACTTGAAGTAAAAGCTGCTTTATGACATAGAAAACTCTGTTATGTAAAGCCATCCTGTTAAAAGTGAAATAATTCTCCAAAATGTAATGTGTTGAGAGTGTTCAGAATTTAGCAACAAATGAAATTGTCTTAACAATGCCATCGTCACTGTAATTGAACCTTCTTATTTTGTAACTATTTAGCATAACCCGACACCCAAAGTTGTTTAGCCTACTTTGGTGTAGATTTTAAAAGAGCTATGAATGGGTCAAGTTGGTGGACGGGATTTTTGCTGATTGCTCCATCTTCAGAATTCAGCCTCCTGTGCATGTCAACAAGCCACTCCTGAGTTGGGTGCACAGGAACAGTGTGGGATGCAGTGTGAAGGGCTGCAGCCAGGAGGAGGAATCAGCAGAAATAATCTCTCAGCCTCTTGCACAAGCTCTTCCATGACTTGAACAAGAGGTGGGGGAGGGGCAAATTTCTACCAATCCCCCCCCTTTCAACTGCAGCCCTCCATTTTGCATCCCATGCTGTTCCTAAGGTTGGCCTAACCCATTAGAAGTGTTTTTTCAAAGAGTGCTAGAGCCTGCAGTATGAAGGAGAAATCAGCAAGTTATTCCATGGTAGTTTAGGAGCCTTTCTTAAACTGACTATTTCTTAAACTGACTATCTGAAACTGGATTTTGAAAATTCTATCCTTTTTTCCTACTAAGTGTTGCTGGATCATTATAAAATAACTAACCAGTAGCAAAACACAAGACAGATGTTTTTCTCTACAATAGCTGAGATGGAAATGGTATTTTGTAGTTCAGATTTGAAGCTGTTGATGAAGTTCAGATTCTAGGTCTGGTTCAGATTCCTCATTGCTCTGTGATGCACGTGGCTGTTCCACATAAAATCATATATGGAATTGTCCTCCCACTGGTGAATAGGGAATCCTTGTGTGGTGCTTCATGGAGCTGCTGGATTAGGGTGATTTTGTAGATTCTCCTAATATTTCAGGCAAACTGTTATGAAGTAACTTAATCTCCATCAAATTTCTAGGAAACAATAGATTTTGTTCTGGTTATCCTCACAGCGGTATGCCATACATGTCTACATTTTCATAAAGTAAACAGCTTTGGCACATAAGAAGTGCAAGGACATGCACAGCAAGTAAAAGCTATTTTTAATAACTTGATAGATCTTTCATTTGACTTTCCCATTATTTCGTTTAATCCGTTTATTTAATCCATGAACAATCTTAACATCCGAACCCTGAAGCTGATAACCGCATTTTAAATAGTGATGGTAGTTTGTACCTTATCACATGTACTATATACTCTCCACTTAATTCCTTAAAACAAAAAAGCAACCCTGTCAAAGGCTGCTCTTGTATGTTAGCAATAGTTCCAGTTATCTTTCACCAGCATTACTACACAGCAGGGAGCACTCTTGTCTACAATGGCCATACTGTGCGTTAAAAACTAGAACACTCCTCTCAGCTAAGAGAATACTGGATATCTGTGGAGTTTTTCCAACCAAAACGGGTAGAAGAAATAAGTTCAGGGTTCAGTTTCTAATACTTGATTTTTTAAATAAAATTGATTATTGTACTTTGTTTTTCTTACTAAGGCCATTTTTTAAGCTGCCACTTTTATTCAGGAAGCCAAAAATAAATACTACATATTGTCAGTGCACACCAATAATTTGTGGTTTCATTATAAGAAAAAATGTGATGTGTTTCTTCTTGAAAACATGCAGTACAGTTTTAATCATAACTGATGAAAGAATTTTCACTTTTAGAGGGTTAAAGGTAATGAATCTTCACTGACACTTTTTTGTAAACTTGAAATCAAGTTTACTGTAATGCATAATATTTGTATGAAATAGAGAATATTGACTTTTGTTACTCTGACATGTAAAATTATCATAGACTTGAATCCATCCATTTATTAAAAGAGAACTTTTTTTATAGAAATAGCATGTGTACTGTTGTCAACTTCAATGATCACATTTCAATTCACTTTCTTTGAATTATTACAATATTATATATTTGCTGGAATGCAACATTCATTGAACAAGAACAAAGATACCTCAACAATATTTTTTGTTTGTATGTAAAAAAGCAAACAAGGCCAGTGGTCTGTTGTGTGGCATCTAAAGTGGAGATACCGAAAAGGTAAAACACCCCATTAAAACCTGGCACAGCATTTGATAAGTGGGTGAAGTACACACTCTTTGCAGCATTATACTTTTGCGAGTGAGAGGGGCACATCCTTCCCCAAAATGCCGAGAAAAGGAATCATGGTTCCCAAGTGGACCACTCTAGGTTCATAGATAAAGGAAAATACTGACGAAGCATCTAGTCCAACTGATTGCCCAAACACAATGACGGTGATTCTTCACAGTCACATGCAGAAGTCTTTCCCAGTCTTACTACCTAAGGTCCTTTCATAACTGGAAATTCTGTGGATAATACCTGG